GGTTGGTTGGTTTGTATATTTGTCTCCTCTCCGGAAAAGGGGTCCCCAACTACAGGTCCATAGACTGCTGGTCTGTGCCCAGCAGAGAGCTGGTCTTTTGCCCAGTCTGGCCCAAACTGCAGGAGGTGAGTGGCAGGCAAGTGAATGAAGCTTCATCTGTATTTATAACCACTCCTGATTGCTTCTCTGGGCTTCCCAGGCGGTGCTGGTGGTAAATAATCTGTCTGCCAATTCAGTAGACATAAGAGAACTGGTTTCAATCCCTGGGTCTGGAATATTCCCTGGAAATGGGAAAGGCTATCCACTCCAGTATTCTTGCATGGGAAATCCCATGGTCAGAAGAGGCTGGTGGGCTATAGTCCATGGGGTCGCAAAGAGTCAGACACGACTGAGGGACTAACTCTTTCACTTACTGCTGTTGTTTCAACATATAAAAGGTTACTTTATAAAATAAAGAAGGCACCAAGTCTTCCTACAGAAAACTGAGACTTGTCCCTCCTGAGTGTTCACATCCGGATAAGGGCTGGCCTGGGAATCACCACTCTTCATCTTGGATTTGGTTTCCAACCTGGCATTAGCTTGATGTTGTTCAGCCACTAAGTCATGTCCGACTCTTCACCACCCCATGAACTGTAGCATGCCAGACTTCCCTGCCCTTCACCAGCTCTCCTGGAGATTGTTCAAACTCATGCCCATCGAGGCAGTGATGCCATCCAACCATCTCATCTTCTGTCTCCCCCTTCTTCTCCTGCCTTCAATCTTTCCCAGCATCAGGGTCTTTTCCAAAGAGTGAGCAGTTCATATCAGGTGGCCAAAGGATTGGAGCTGCAACTTCAGTCCTTCCAAAGAATATGGTGGGTTGATTTCGTTTATGCTTGACTGATTTGATCTGGCATTAGCTAACACTCATACCAACAACAAGAGTAGGGTGGAGCAGTGGAAAAATCTGATTTGCTTTATTGACAACAAACATGATGATCCAGGATGATGTCCGAAGGCTGACCAACTGAAGAACCAAGAACCCACATAGGAATTAGCAAACACACACGTTATACAGAGAAGAAAGAATAAAGTGACACCAGCTGATAAATATGGGAACCAATACAGGGACCTAAAACCAAAGGTAAACAGTGGCAAGCCACAATTGGACCCTTCTGTCTGGAAGCTGCAGTCTGTGACATTTGGAGAACATTTTGCCCTGTCCACATCTACCTTCAGCCTAAAAGTTTCCACAAGTATTATGAGGGTCATCGAATATGCCAGTTGTTTTTTTTTTTTTAAACATTGACCCCGCCTTGACCATCTTTCTTTTCTCCAGGGATTTGAGGTACAACTAGTCCCAGCGTGGGTGATGCTGGCATTGTCTTTTTCCTTCTAAACAAACCTAAGGCAGTGCACCTCAGCCTCAAGAACAAAACTTTCTGGGACACACACTGTCTCCTTCATTAAACAGCTGTGGGCACTGGAAACACAGTCATTACCCAAGTCTAAAGACTATGACATGGCAGAATTTACTCATCACTGAATGAAGACTTTATTGACTGGCCAAAGCATTCGACTGTGTGGATCACAATAAACTGTGGAAAATTCTGAAAGAGATGGGAATACCAGAACACCTGACCTGCCTCTTGAGAAACCTATATGCAGGTCAGGAAGCAACAGTTAGAACTGGACATGGAACAACAGACTGGTTCCAAATTGGAAAAGGAGTATGTCAAGGCTGTATATTGTCACCCTGCTTATTTAACTTATATGCAGAGTACATCATGAGAAACGCTGGGCTGGAAGAAGCACAAGCTGGAATCAAGATTGCCGGGAGAAATATCAATAACCTCAGATATGCAGATGACACCACCCTTATGGCAGAAAGTGAAGAAGAACTAAAGAGCCTCTTGATGAAAGTGAAAGAGGAAAGTGAAAAAGTTGGTTTAAAGCTCAACATTCAGAAAACGAAGATCATGGCATCCAGTCCCATCACTTCATGGCAAATAAATGGGGAAACAGTGGAAACCGTGGCTGACTTATTTTTCTGGGCACCAAAATCACTTCAAATGGTGACTGCAGCCATGAAATTAAAAGACACTCACTCCTTGGATGGAAAGTTATGACCAACCTAGACAGCATATTAAAAAGCAGAGACATTACTTTACCAACAAAGGTCCATCTCGTCAAGGCTATGATTTTTCCAGTGGTCATGTATGGATGTGAGAGTTGGACTATAAAGAAAGCTGAGTGCTGACGAATTGATGCTTTTGAACTGTGGTGTTGGAGAAGACTCTTGAGAGTCCCTTGGACTGCAAGGAGATCCAACCAGTCCATCCTAAGGAAATCAGTCCTGGGTGTTCATTGGAAGGAGTGATGCTGGAGCTGAAATTCCAATATTTTGGCCACCTGAGGTGAAGAGCTGACTCATTGGAAAAGATCCTGATGCTGGGAAACATTGACGGCAGGATAAGGGGACGACAGAGGATGAGACGGTTGGATGGCATCACCAACTCTTTGGACATAGGTTTCAGTGGACTCCGGGAGTTGGTAATGGGCAGGGAGGCTGGCATGCTGTAGTTCATGGGTTCACAGAGTCAGAAACGACTAAGCAACTGAACTGAACTGAAAGGGAATATAGCAGCTCGGTAAAAATGAATCAGCATGGATGACCCTAGAGATGAACATGCTGACTGAATTCAGTCCGACAGAGAAAAAAAAAATAATCTTATATGATGCCATGTATGTGTGGAATGAATTTTTTAAAATGATCCCAATGAACTTATTTAGAAAACAGACAGAGACTCACAGACATAGAAAACCAACTCATGGCTACCAAATGGGGAAAGGGAAACTGAAAGTCAAAGTCTCAGTCATGTCCGATTTTTGGCATCCCCATGACAATACAGTTCAAGGAATTTGCCAGGTCAGAATACTGGAGTGGGTAGCCTTTCCCTTTTTCCAGGGGGATCTTCCCCACCCAGGGATCGAACCCAGATCTCCCACATTGCAGGCAGATCTTTACCAGCAGAGACACCAGGGAAGCACAGGGGGAAAGGAGACAGGGATAAATTAAGAATTTGGGATTAACATATACACAGCTCTATATAAAACAGATAATCATCAAGGACTCACTGTGAAACAGAAACAAACTCACAGACACAGAGAACAGACTTATGGTTGCCATAGGGGAAGTTGGGGGAAGGATGGATTGTGAGATTTGGTTAACAGATGCAAACGTTGGTATATAGCTTGGATAAGCAACAAGGGCCTACTGTATAGAACAGGGAACTCTACTCAATATCCTGTGATAAACCATAATAAAAGAGATTATATTAAAACTTTGTGTATATATATATCAGTGTTTATATACATATTGTAACATAAATTTGTTTATTATATAAGTTTATAAAATTTATATCTATTTTAAAAATTGAATATATATATGTATATACTGCTGCCGTGCTGTGTCTCAGTTCACTCCGGGAGTTGGTGATGGACAGGGAGGCCTGGTGTGCTGCAGTCCATGAGGTTGCAAAGAGTCAGACATGGCTGAGCAGCTGCACTGAAGATGCACTGAAAAAAATACCAACTAATGAATTGTGTCAGGAAACTGAAAAGTGGGTTCCCAGAACCAGCTGGGAGATGGTTGGGAAGCAGCAGGAAGAGGGATGACCAAGGAGCCCCAGGATAGTTTTGCACTTGACAGATATGCTCACCATGCCGACTGGGGAAAAGTTCTCACAGCTCTACTCATACAAAGCTTGTCAACTGTATGCCTGAAATAGGTGAAGTTTTGTTGTATCTCAACTAAATTAGTTTTAAAAACTCATTTCAGTTCAACTATAGAGCTTTCAGTTGCTAAGTTTCCATTCTATTTCTATATTTTTTATATCTTTAATCACTATCCATCCATTTTCTTTTCTTATTATTATTATTAACATGACCATCATAGGGCTGCTGTTGTCCTGAGAGCAAACTGTCCAAGTGAGTATAATTTAGGGATCGGTTGCCCTTGGTTTCTTTAATCTAGGTTCCCAGATGTGTGGACAGTTCAGGAGGAAGGTTGAAATAACCTGGAGCTACAGGTAAGGCAGAAATCTTACCCACTGTAGGGAGACTAGGTCATACGCTCAAGGGAAAATAAAGTGTAGAGATGAACTTGAGAGGGATTCTTGACTAAGGTAGGAGATAAGAGTTTGCTGTTGTTGAAAATATTTCATGCATTTAAATATAAAAACAAAAGTATAATGAAGTTGCAGTGTAAATACACACACACACACAATGGAATACTACACAACCATTAAAAGTAGAAATTTTGTCATTTGCAGCAACTTGGATGGATTTCGAGGGTATTAGGCTAAGTGAAATAAGTTAGACAGAGAAAGACAAATACTGTATGATACCACTTATGTGTAAAATGTAAAAAATAAAACAAACTAATAGAGCAAAAAGGGACTACCTCACAGATACAGAGAACAAATAGTGATTAGCACTGCAGAGTGGAAATGAATAGAGTTCAACAGGAGGGGAGTAAGAACGACAAGCTACTATGTATAATATAAATAATGTACAAAGATATATTGTACATCATAGGGACTAAACCCAATATTCTTATAACTATAAATGGTATATATAAAAATCATGAATCACTATATGGTACACCTCTAACTTACACAATATTTCATAATAACGACACTTCGATTTCAAGACGAAAAATACAGACTCCTCTGAGGAATGCCCTGATAAATGATTCCTGGCAGAGGAATTAATCTCCTCAAACTGGACAAGTGTACCATCTTCAGTTTTAGAAAAGAAGCTTAAACCGACCTCTTCAGTGTTAAAGTCATAATACAGGAGTTGTGACTATGTGTCTTGGACTTTCTGTCCCATTTTGGAAACTGAGGATATAAAAATATAAATCACTGCCCTTGAAATACCTCCTATGTCCTGTGATTTCTCACTTAATCTGAAGGCAAATGTCCAGATCTACTTATGCTTCCCTTAAAATTAATCTATAGAAAGAGCAGATTGCATAAAAGGATCACCAGCCAAGCAGGGTATCAGAAGACGATGTCTATGTAACCAAGGTCTTAGGATTAACTGCTGTTTGATCACTATGTGTCCTGCCAAGAAACTCATCCTGTAAGAAGTGGGAAGAATTCACAACCTCTCCAACACCGGGGACACCATCAGCTTCTCTAGAAGAAGTTTGACAAAGGTCAGAAAGATGAAGGGGATGTTTCTGACTCTTCTGCTTAGTCTGGCTTGGTCAGCACAGGAAGCTCCAGCTGAGACAGAAGCCTCAGAGGTACCCAAATTCAGCTGATGTGGGAGAAGGTGTTGTTTCCAGGAGTGTGTGTGTGTGTCTGTGTGTGTGTGTGTGTGTGTCTGTGAGATGCTTTTGTTTAATTATTTGTTTTTTAAATTTTTATTGCAGGATAATTGCTTTACAGAATTTTCATGTTTTCTGTCAAACCTCAACATGAATCAGCATTCAGTTCAGTTCAGTTCAGTTCAGTTCAGTTCNCCTCATAGAATGAGTTTGGAAGTGTTCCTTCCTCTGCAGTTCTTTGAAAGTGTTTTAGAAGAATAGGCGTTAGCTCCTCTCTGAATATTTGATAGAATTCTCCTCTGCGGCCATCTGGTCTTGAGCTTTTGTCTTTTGGGAGACGTTTGATCACAGCTTCAATTTCAGTGCTTATAATTGGCTTGTTCATAATTTCAGTTTCTTCCGTTTTGGTCTTGGAAGATTCAACTTTCCTAAGAACCTGCCTATTTCTCCCAGGTTATTTTATTTTATTGCCATATAGTTGTTCATAATAGTCTCTTACGATCCTTTGTATTTCTGCATTGTCTATTGCAACCTCTCCTTTTTCATTTCTAATTTTCTTGATTTGATTCTTCTCTCTTTTTCTTGATGAGTCTGGCCAAAGATTTGTCAATTTTCTTTATCTCCTCAAAGAACCAGCATTTAGTTTTATTAACTTTTACTATTGTTGCTTTCATTTCTTTTTCATATTTTTGTTCATATTTTTATCATTTCTTTCCTTCTACTAATTTTGGGGGTATTTTTTTTCTTCTTTTTCCAGTTGTTTTACATGTAAAGTTAGGCTGTCTATTTGATGGTTTTCTTGTTTCTTAAAGCAGGATTGTATTGCTATAAACCTCCCCCTTAGACCTGCTTTAACTGCATCCCATAGGGTTTGAGTTGTCATGTTTTCATTGTCATTTGTTTCTAGACATTTTTAAGTTTCCCTTTCGATTTCTTCAGCAACCTCTTGGTTGTTTATAAATGTGTTGTTTAATCTCCATGTATTTGTGTTTCTTACACTTTTTTTTCTTGTAATAGATATATAGTCTCATAGCATTGTGGTTCAAGAAGATACTGCATACAATTTCAATTTTCTTAAATTTACTGAGGTTTGATTTGTGACCCAAGGTGTGATCTATCCTGGAGAATGTTCCATGTTTACTTGAGAAGATGTATTCTTCTGCATTTGCATGGTTTATCCTGACAATATCAATGAGACCCATCTCATCTAATGTATCATTTAAGACTTGTGTTTCCTTATTAATTTTCTGTTTTGATGACCTGTCCATTGGTGTGAGTGGGATGTTAAAGTCTCCTAGTATTTTTGTATTATTGTCAATTTCTCCTTTTATGTCTGTTAGTGTTTGTCTTAAGTATTGAGGTGCTCCTGTGTTGGGTGCATAGATATTAACAATTGTTATGTCTTCCTCTTGGATTTATCATTATGTAGTGTCCTTCCTTGTCTCTTGTAATCTTTTTTATTTTAAGGTCTATTTTGTCTGATATGACGATGGCTACTCCAGCTTTCTTTTGCTTCCCATTTGCATGGTATATATTTTTCCATCCTCTCACTTTCAGTCTGTATGTGTCTTGAGGTCTCAAGTGGGTTTCTTATAGACAGCATATGTGTGGTTCTTGTTGTTGTATCCATTCAGCCAGTCTGTGTCTTTTGGTTGGAGCATTGAATCTATTTACATTTAAAGCAATTACTGGTATTATGTTCCTATTGCCACTTTCTTAATTGTTTGCGACTGATTTTGTAGCTCTTTGATCTTGTTGTCTTTCTTGACTGTATCTATGACCAGATTGTATCAATATACCATGGTACACCTATCTACATGAGCACAATGTGACCCAATGACTTTCTGCCCTTTGCACTTTTTTTTCATCTTATTTGTCTGTAGGTGAAAAAAAATAATATGCCATCATTCAGACACCTATGAACTGTCATGGTCTTGATTGGCATTGTTTTAACTATTTCAAAAACTCTGAATTCTACGCTTTCTGTTCAAATGTGAACCATGCTTTCATTTCATGTTATTCGGCAGGGTAGAGAGTAGAACCCCACTCTTTACTTAATAAGATTGAATTTACTTCTCTTCTGAGGTAAATGTGTAAGCAAAGATGCTGGTGTCTATTGGTGAAAAACAAGTAAAGAGACGGAATGACACTACGAAGATTTTCCTTCTTAGATTACAGGAGACTGAAACACCATTTACCGTGCTGTGGATAACAAGGAGAAGATTCAGCAAGGAGGCCCACTGAGGGCATATATCTGTCACTTTGAATGTATCAACAACTGCGAACAACTCTCCATTACTTTTTACGTCAAGTAAGCACAATCTGCCTAAACTGAGAACAACGAGACTGTTGACTTCTGACGTGGGGTCCAGTCTCCAATGTGCACGAAAGGTGTGAGTCATGGCTGTGAGTGTGTGAGTTGCGAAATCTATCCATGGAAGGGTGAGCTTAAGTGCTGGGGAATGGATGGTGAGGAAGGAACACCGTGTTTGTTTGTTTTTCAGGGTTTACTATAACTGCGTGTTACTCACAGTAGTGGCAAATAGAGAAGAAGGAGATGTTTATGTCGTAAACTGTGAGTATGCAAGTTCTGCCGATGTGTGCATCTTCTCAAGCTTGTTAATCACTAAGTTGTGTCTAACTCTTTGAGACACCATGGACGCATAGCACCTGGCTCCCCTGTCCATCACTAACATCTGGAGCTTACTCAAACTCATGTCTATTGAGTCACTGATGACATCTAACAATCTTATCCTCTGTCATTCTTCTCCTGCCGCCCTCAACCTTTATCAGCAGCAGGGTTTTTTCGAGTTAGTTGACTCTTCTCATCAGGTAGCCAAAATATTGAAGCTTCATTTCAGCATCAGTCTTTCCAATGAACATTTCCTTTAGGACTGACTGGTTTGATCTTGCTGTCCAAGGGACTCTAGGAGTGGGTAGCCATTTCCTTCTCCAGGGTATCTTCCCCACCCAAGGATGAAATCTGCGTCTTCAGCATTGCAGGAAGATTCTTTACCAGCTGACCCAACAGGGAAGGGTGAAACCACAGAATGTGTGCAGACTGATGGTCTTGACTCAGTCCAAGACAACTAGATGTCTGGAATTGTGAAGTATTTCTTCTACTCATTATAAAAGCAACCTTGGAAATAACACTTAATTGTCCAGGAATTCTGCACTGGAAAATCAAGATAAGGTCCAATTTGGAAGGTGGCATTGATGGCAACTGAAAAGAAGTCCCAGAACATGGATTCTCCATGTGCCTCAGTCATGGGGAAGTGTTTAAAGCTACTTAAGAATACAACGATATTTAAAAAAATTTTTTTTTCTATCTCTTATTTCACTTGCATGTGTCAGCTCTTCAAATCAGGTGGTCAAAGTATTGGAGTTTCAGCTTCAATATCGGTCCTTCCAATAAACACCCAGGACTGATCTCCTTTAAGATGGACTGGTTGGATCTCTTTGCAGTCCAAGGGACTGTCAAGAGCCTTCTCCAACACCACAGTACAAAAGCAACAATTCTTCGGCACTTGTCTTCCTTTGTAGACCAACTCTCACATCCATACATCGCCACTGGAAAAACCATAGCCTTGACTAGATGGACCTTTGTTGGCAAAGTAATGTCTCTGCTTTTTAATACATTATCTAGGTTGGTCATAACT